GGGGGAAGCTAACACAGCCGACCCTGAGAGACCGTGGACTCGGCTGCGCGCACTGCGTGGGGGAGGGTTCCCAAGGGGGCTCTCTCTCTTAGCCGTTAGCAAGCAAGCAAGCAAGCAAGCAAGAGAGAGAGACAGAGAGAGAGAGTTCCTGGCATACCCAGCTCTCGCCATAGAGACGGGCCTTGCGCATTGCGTTGTCAGACGAAGGGGATCGCCTGTGCCAGGGCCACCGTCCTTTTCACATTGGCTCTGGGTGGCGCACGGGCTTTTGCCAAGGAGGCGCGAGGTACAGACCAACTCATATTGTGTTGGCTGTTGGCCGATGATTTCGCGTCTGCTAGGTCATGATCATCCCAGAGCCAGAGGAGATCATCGTTGGCGAAGTGGTGCAGTTCAACGCAAGTGCAGGGTGCGCGGGTCTGCAGAAACTAGCCCCTGACATTGTTCCGGGAAGCATTGTTCCGGGAAACAGAAGATGTTCAATTCAGAAGCTCACTCATCCACCTGTCTTCCGTGCGTTGGGTGTGCCCACTGTCTGCAGTCTGCATTGCCACATTGAGTCTCGAGTTGATGTTGGACCGCATAAACAGCTCAAACAACTCGAGACTATGTCTCGATGGTGCTTGTCGGGGCGACGATCCTGTAGAGTTAGGGGGGCAGATTCCGGCAGATCGTCGCCAATGGAATAGCGCAGCTGTCGGCACTGGGCAACGTCCGTTTTAGCGTTCGGGAGTTTCGAAGCTCGGTTCAAACCCCCTTTCGCAGAGCGGGGGGCGAGAACGCAGCTACAATTTCCAGAATCCAGGTTCGAACATGGGTTAGCACCCACCAAGCTTGGGGCTGCTTGTGCGGCTCGTATCTGTCCACCTTGGACTCACCTGCCACGTAAAGGCGTCCAATCTTTCCTCCGCGATCATTCGCTGGTGCATGTGAAAGGTATGGCTTCATCAAGCCGACAGTCGACTCGGTGTTCCAGCAGGATGTTTACTTCAACATCAAGGAATGGGCTTCGATTTCTTGCTTCGAGTCCTGTCAAGCATTGCCACCCAGAGCTTTCTACAGGACTTGTCACGGGCACTGTCGGATGAGGAACGAGGAGGCGAGAAAACGAGTTGGCTTGCATACATCATGGAATTTGAAGCTCATCCTTCGTCTTGCAGAGTTCTGACTGCGGACACCAGTTTCTGTAAGCTTTGCAACGCAAGCCGCCACCACGAGGTCTGACCGGGCAGACATGCCGCTTCAACTTGCGGCTGACGCCCGACAATAGGCGCCCTGAGATGAACACAAAATTGTCGGCTTCACACAGATCCTCTTGGGGCACCCTTCCAGTCCTCAGGCCTCAAGCTCGCCGCGTTGAGCTGGTGGGTGCTGCCTTCGCCGGCACTGCACTCGGCGCCTGTGGTACACTGTGGTACGGTAAGCCGTGAAGGGCAGCAGCGCAGCATGTAGCACTTCTACGGCGGAATGTTCTCTCAGGCACTTCAAGCAGATTCAGCTACGAGCCTCCGCAGGCCGGCCGAAGAGCCTCAAAATGTCTCAGGCACATTGCTGCATGCCTTCTCCAGGCAGCAGCTCCGGCCGGCTTCTCTGCAGGCGCAGGCGGTCACCCATGGAGAACAAAGCAGAGCAATGTCAGAAAACCTATCTTTCAAGACGCCTCCGTGCCAAGTTTAGACGTCTTTGGTCTACGGGTGAGCAAGTTGGATCATTGTCATCCCCCAGCCTGCAAACCCGTGCTTACCCGGTTATACCTTCAATCTTTTTGCGTGCTCTGTGCTGAAATTTCAGCAAAGGCATGCGTCTCTTGTTCCCTGGCCTGCGTTTTGCTTTTCTAGACACAACCCAAAACCTACTGACTGACAGGCAAGAAAAGAGCCAGCTTTAGTTATCAAAACAAGGAAACGATGGGAAACACGTGTCTAATCAATTTCAGCTGGTGCTTTTCGCGCAAGAGAGCTTCCTTGTGCAGAAGATCCCGATCAAAAACGGCGTGCTTACGGTTCGGTACATTATCTCGAACATCGGGAAAAGAAGCGCAAGCCACCATCCCTTTGCTATGCTCCAATTTGATGGCCGCGAAGCTGCTACATACTACGTTTCGAAGCAGCACATGTTATTGGGCAATCTGCTGGGCTCTGACGAATCAGCTCGCAGGCGGCATGGCCATGGGCGTGCCGGACGACTACGATTCGTCAAAGCCGCCCACCGAGAAGCCCAAAAGGTTTAAGGTTTAAGGCTTATCAGGCTAATCAGAAGCGCATAAGTGGTACCACACAGCACAGAGGCATGCGAGTGCACATCTAGACCTGAACATTGATCTTAGGTTCCTTGTCTTCGGTTGTATCTAAGTTCGGTTTTAAGGCGGAATACAATATGCCCGCCAAAGTTTCGAGATGGGTCCGTGAAAAAAATCGCGAAAGGTCTTGCGCGACAGACTCGATGCGTGTAAGACGCAAAGACAACATGCCATCGTTCCATGGGCCCAAATGCAACTGCAAAGTTGTGTCATCGTATACCCATCCTCAGCATCCGGAAGTGCCAGATTTGGGATAATCGTGATTAGTAGGTTTTGCACATGAGAACTGCGATAGTCTCGGCAAATGACGGACGGACTTTTCCAAGGCCATGGCCGCGATTTCGTGCGACCTGATTCTTAATCTGGACCTCGCACAAATCCTCCAACAATAATCCCAAACTCGACGGACCGCCATCAAATCAATCCTACTACCAGCACTGCTACCGCCACAAGGACTGCTGCCATAGTCATTTATCTTTACTACTACTGCTACCGCCACCACCACCACCACCACGACGACGACTACTACTACATTGCAGCGGCGAAACAGAACCGCTATCAATACTGGTCGTTTTGGTGGGCGGCAAGACGATGGCCATTCTGGTCGTTTAGGGGGGGCAACACGATCGGTCCTCTGTTTTGTTGGTCGTTTTTTTCGATTTTATTTGGGGAGAGCAAAACGACCTGTTGGACCGAACCAACATGACCAAAACGACCTGCCGGTTTGCCATAGCTTGGGGATCATGGTGCAAGCACTCAGTACTACTACTACTACTACTACTACTACTACTACTACTACTACTCCTGATACTACTACTACTGCTACTACTACTACTACTACTGCTGCTGCTACTACTACTACTACTACGACGACGACAACGACCAGTCCTGCTGCAACGCCTCCTCCTGCTGCTACACCTGCATCTGCAGCAGCAACAACAACAGCTGTTGCTACCAGTACTGCAACTTTGTTGGTACCACGGCGACGACTACTACTGCAACTGTTACCGCTGCTAGTGTCACTAGTACCACTCCTACTAATTACCCCTTCCGCTAACTTGTCACGCGAAAGACGCTTGAAAGGAAAGCAATCTTCCGCGCAGTAGGCAAATCCGGATGAAGAACATTGATCAACCCGCAGGACCTGTACTACCGAATAAATTGTCCTTGTGCTTATGTGGCTGAAGTCAATCAAGAAACTGTTCGCGATGACGTCCGTCAAGGTTTGGAGGCGCTGCGCCGGCTCAGACAAAAACGCGCTTCAGCTACGAGGCCAGCGGGATATAAGTTTCCCTCCCAGGATGCATGGATTTTTCGTGCCTCTGTCGGTGCATGAATCGACACCGCCACTTGAATGCTCCTGTCATGAACCAACGGATTGCCCATCCCAGCTTTGCGAATGTAGATCAGCTTGCACAGGCACCGAATACGACGAGCACAGTCTCCGGTTTTCACTCAGGCGCGCTTGACACTTGACTGTCCATCAACCAGCCAAACCAAGCTGGTGTGCTGGGAGATGCCCAATCATCCATCATGAATCGCATGACAGAAAGATAAGAATTACAGTTTGGGGCATGGAAGCATATAGTCATGCGATCCTGCCCCCCCCCTCCTGCCCCCCCAAAGCAATGTGGCAGCCCCCTCTGCCCCACGGTGGCTTGCATCCACAAGCGGGCACTGCAACACTGCTACACACCTCAGGGGTGCCGTTTCTCGACGGAGACCTTTGGCAAACCGCGGCCTCCCCTAAGGTAGTCACAGGCGTCGGGGCATGCCGGGGACAGAGCCGGAAAGGCTTTGTTGCTGCTCAAAGTAAACTGGCGGCTGAAAGCACATAACGGTCAGAGCAGAGAGGAGCTTTGTAGGTCAAAAGCTTCTTGTCGTGCTTGAATACGGAGGCGACAATCCGCTTATCGCACGAGTTTAGCCCAGGTCCAGCTGTTTTGCGGCTGTGTGTTGGCATTGCTCATGGGAAACATCACATACAGTGTGACTGCCGTGCATTGTAAGAGATGTGGAGATGCAAGGTGCTGCTGCTGGTGTGTGCTGCATTGCCAATTTCAGTTTTCAAGTCAACCAGGACCAGCATGTCCATGTGTTAGCTGACCTGTGAGCGTGAGTGTTGCAATACCTGGCAGGCCTTAAGGAGTTTCTGGTCTAGACAACCCCTCCTTAGCCATCCGCGCCTCATCACGCCTCGGCCTTTTGACGTGATGCGAGTCGAGTCTGTGGCAAGTCTCTGGCTGTGCACACAGACGCAATCAGACGCATTTGCGTTGTGTGAGTGACAGATCCTGCGCCGCGAGTCGTCGACATTTAGCATCGAGATGTGCCAGTGAAGTACGATTGGAATCCAGTGGGTGTGCTTTGTGGCGCACATGGCATTTCGGTGCCGCAGCGTGGACCCAGGGGCAATGTCACCGACGATGGGGCAATGTCAGCCTAGCCTGGTGGAGTTGCATGCCAAGAAATGCAGCAGCTGCAGACAGCTCTGTGATTGCGCGAGCGAGCTGTGAGTTGGTGTCGCGTGTGAATCCCGGTCAGCGTTCGGACAATGAGGTCCCCGTAGCCTGCCGCCAAGAAACCCAGCAGCAAGCCGGCATACTTCTTACTCCGCGCCATGCGAGTTGATGGCCGTGAGAAGTCCCCATTGGAGCTGAGTCGGCGCTGCAGGTTACATGTACCAATTTGCCAGAAGTGCTTCGTGTTACATGAAGCTCTGGACGCTACTGCACTTCTCCCAGGCGCTCCGCCAGAGCCCACGTTCGAGAAAACCTCTAGGCCGGGAAGTTCTCATGAAGTACTGGTAGCATTTGTATCACTGCCGCCGCAAAACTTTTGACCTTAAGATAAGTCTTGTCAGGTTCAGCGCCACCCCGCCGCCAGGTGCGACTCGCGGCTTCTTGTCGCTCTCGTACGCTGGTGGAGTGTAGACGTGTCATGTAACAGCGGCAGCACCGCGGTCTTCGAATCGGTGGTTGGCGAAGCTCACGGCTTGTTGCCTGCGCTGCATCATTGCACGGGAACACTTGCACCAACCCCTCACAGTTAGCTCCGGGCAATCGACATTGCTCGCCATTTCCACGCTGCAACCTCAGCAGCTCCATGTGCTTGACTTCAGGCCACGACATGAAGCGTGCAGCCGAGGGCAATGCTGAGGCATGTGGTGACTCTGCATGCGCAGGCTTTGCTTCCTAACTTTGGTAAGCGAGAACATAGGCAGCCTTGCAGAGCATTGCAGCGTGATGACAGTGGCAAGCATCCGATCAAGAATCCAGTTGCACTCGAGCCAACTGAACACTCGCCGTAAGCAGAGGCTCAACATCGGCACGCCGAGATGTCGTCCATAGAATGGAACAAGTGCTGGGCATCTGCAACCGATGTCCCGAAACAACTAGGGAGAGCATGTGTGCTTGTGTGTTTGTTTGTTTGTTTGTTCGTTTGTTTGTTTTTGTTGTGCGCGCGCAAGCGCGCATCATATGTCGAATTTTGCGGAAAGCATGGCTTGCCTGCTTTCGTGTGAGTTTGTGTGAGGAGCCTCCGACCAAGCGACAGGCGCGCCATAGCAGGTAGTGACCGGTAGTGGACTATGTCAGTGATGATCGGAGATGTCCATATTGTATTGGTGAGGCACATCAGGAGCCCGCTGTGTCTGAGGAGGCAGGAAGCAGAGCCGCATCTAACCAAGTTAACGATCTACCGGGTACCGCACCGCAGTCCGGTGCCCGCCGCAGCACAGGGTGATGAAGTTCTATGGATTCCATAGTGACTTGATCTTGCTCACATACCTTCGGGAAACGAAGCCTGGACAGAAAACGACTACAGGCGGCGAAGGGCCTAGGGTTGTTTGCACGAATATCGCTTGGAATTAACAGCTTCGAATTGCTGCTAATTTTAACAGGCTTTTGAATAAGAGCCGCATGCTCTGTTTTGCACCGAGTAGCGGGACAGCACGTTGGCTTTGGCTTGGCTTGAACACTTTTCTGCTCGTTGTTTCTTGCTCCAAACTACGACTGTGTGCGGTCCTTTTTGGATAGACGACGTGATTGACTTTGGATTCATCAATCAACACTCTCCTTTGCTTTCGACGAGAAATCATTCGGTCATTTAGAATCGGTTTCCAGCGCGGCCATTATACTGTCCTCGCTTCTAGCATGGTGGCAATCAGCTCAATCAGGTTTCGGGTTTCAGGGCGAAACCTGTATGAGCGGAATCGTAGCATGTCGAAAAGACACAGCTCTCCGGGGCTCGAACCACATGTAGCTACGCTATACAACGTGAATTCGGTGAAAGCGGGTGCGCAGCCAGTTGGCTGCGGCTAAGAGCGTTTTCGTCCTGGGAACCTGCTCAAAAGATTCTCGTAATCCAAAGAGGTTTAAGAACAAAGCACGATGAAGCCAAGAGGGCGTGCGACGGATGTGCACAGGCGTGACAGGATGCCTGGGAGAAGACTGTGACCGAGCATGTTCAGGACGTTGACATTGTCCAAAGTCGGCAGGGGACCAAGTATGAGCACAATGAGTTCCGCCATCTGCGAGCCTCCATCGGGATGCGGGTGTTCGACTGAGCGCTCACGAGAGCCTGAGAAGTGCAAGCAGGGAGGCATTTCATCATGCATTCGTGCCAGGTTGACAATGAGTGCTTCTGCCTTCTAGATCTTGAAGGAGCAGAGAGAGTTCAAGCTTTGCGATGTATAGAGCAAAAAGGCAGGTTGCGCTACTGAGCGCTGTGCAGAGCCGACAGAGCGAGTCGTTGGCCTCGGGCACCACACCCTGTAGACTGGATTCATTAGAAATCCATTAACGGTGACGGGAACCCCTTCCCTTGATTGCTTCTTGTAGAGTGCAGTAATCCACGATTATCGAGCACAGGGCCGCGAGACAGGTACGCGGAGATGATCAACGATCTTTGCAAGCACAGTGCTGTGCGGCTGTCCATTCTCTTAGGACCGCGGGATGGCGTCTGGGGTCCGGAAATGGGGAAACTGACATCTCTGCTGCTCGTTGCTTTGTTTGTGATGGTATTTCCAGGACTCTCGTCCGCCGTAGTGGACAACGTTCCGCTCGTCGAGGCCGTTGAAGACGTGCAACCTCCCCGCAAAGCCTGACGACCAGCTTTGGAAAGAAGAATCGACAGTCTCTAACGACTTCACTACACCGATGGGTTGCGGTGGACAGAATGCGACAGCATCCAGCTGTCACAGCACCCACAACCTTAGCAACATGCAATGCTTGCTGGCTCCAGTGCACATTGGAGTAGGTCGGCGGATTGGGTCTTGGGTCACTCTCGCAATCTTCAAGTCATGGTAAGCCAACTCTGCCTAACAGATCATAGAAGGCTGCCAAGGTCTTCATCTCTCCTGCATGGTCGGTTCGAACCCGTTAGATGCAGAATATAGTGTACTTTGTGTGTCCAGCTGGAATCAAGAGCAATGGTGGAAGTGGATTGGCGAAAAGGACTCGCACTTCTCCTTTTCCTGGTGCAATGCTTTCTGGTGTTCAAGCTGCTGCGATGGTGTCGTTGGCTTAGCATCGCGAGTTTCCACGAATAATTGCACAAGAGCTGAGAGTGCAGGGGTTTGGACAGCAAGATGCGTTTACTTTTGCGGCGGCTTTTCTTGCTGCTGCCTGCGTAAAAACTCACATGCCACGTTCGCATCCGACCCACTGAGGTCGGAACTTCGTTCGCGGATGCGCTTGCAGCATCGCAAGCTGCATTGGTGCATCATGACCATGATGTGGTTTTCCCATGTTCTCCCCACGACCTACACGCATGTCCCCGCGTGGCTGATAAGGTCACTCGTGGAACTGGGCATCCTTCTCCAAATGGTATCAGCACTACATGCGACAGGCATCAGATGATTCAGAATGAGTGAACAGCATTCCAGTAAGTCGAACATGCTTTGCCCGGAGCGGATAATGGTGCAAGTTGGTGTACCGAAGTGAAACGTGGACGCTCTTTGCACGGATATTACCATGCCTGCAGATATCGTCGATGTCGTTTCCAGAAGCTTCAACTGACTGGTGTGAAGGCCGAAATAGACCCAGAAATTCAAGCTTGTAAGTGCAGTTGAGCGGTCACTTCATTGGATACCCGCCGTCAAAAGTTTGATTTTCCTTGAGGAGGAGCGGGTCGTGAAGGCTAAGGTGACACTGCAAATAGGCGCGGCACTGCACCGCAGAGTGACTGTGCTCCGACTGCCATGCTGCAAGGCTGTCCATGTCCGTACAATCAGCCAAAAACTGCCAGGCGTTTTCATCATCGGCTGCTATGTTCTGCCGTGCACGTACTGTTTGCGAATGGTTACCTTCCAGGCAACAAGGTTGCAAGATACGGGCGAGAGTGGATAGGTTGTGTTTGAATGCACGATGCATTGCCATAGCAGCAACTTGCAATATTGTCAGCCTGGAAGCTGTGGAAAGGTTGCATCTTGTGCTCAGAACCTACGCAGATTAGGACATCAACCGCATCCAAATAGAAAACTGTCGCAGGGCTGGGAGCAGAATGTCTTCTTGTTGCTGCCGAACTGTGTCGTGTCAAGCCACGAACGACAGAAACACCATAATGGTGGTACAGGTTGAGCCAGAAAAGTGACCGAAGAGAGAGATCGTGAATCGTGGGGAACGTTTGAGCAGGCCTTGCCCAGGCAGGCAAGTAGTTGCAATGTCTGGTGTCCGATGTGTCCGATCTGTGGTCCCTTGAAGCCCGGCTCGCAGTCGCTGTCTCTCGCCCTCCTTTCTTTTTCTTGCACAGTCCCGCGCCGACCTATGCAGTCGTGGGCAGATACAACTTCTTGAGAGAGCTTGAGCCGAAAAAGCTAACATCACGCCATCAGGGCGGTCAGTGCCAAGCCACATCTGAAGCGTCAAGTCCTGCGTCAGTGTCCCGCATAGTCGCAAGCCGGTGCACCTGCGAAAAGACAAAAAGCAACGCGGAGGGCGAGAGCTTAACAGCCTCCATCTAAAGCAGCTTGAAATACAAGAGAGAAATCCCACACCAGTAAGGCCGAAGGTCTCGAATCTAGAATGTGAGAATGAGATCCGTGACGGAATCGGCCTTCAAACATGGAGTGTTTGCGCAACGGGAACAGAATGTCCGTAACGGGAACCCGTAACAGGAACGGGGACCGATCCCGTAACAGCAACCACCAGTTCCTGTAACACCCCCAGGCCGCCCCTCGCCACAGGAACCAGTGCCGGGCTTTAAGAATGAGTTGTTTCACATCCAGCTGTTCTTGTGGGCTCGCCAACTCAGGGACCGCTTTCCGGTCCCCGACTTATACGGCTTCAACATGTCATAATGTAGCACTAGAACTGACCTCATATGTCCACACCAACCTTTGTCCTGAATTTCCGATGATGGCTACAGCATCGGTGTTGCCATTCACGCTCCAGAGTAGCATTGCATGTGTCAAAGCCGTTCTCGAGCGTTTAAAGCCGTTCTCGACTGGCAAATGCCTGAACGCTTGAACCTGACCCGTTAACCCTAAACCCTAAAACACTAAACCCCAGTCTTGTCCGAGTGTGAGTGCTGAAATCATGAAACCCCCGAACCCCTAAACCTCCTGAATACCTCTGCAGCCGCCGCAGAGCCCTAAAACTTGAAAGCCTGAATCCTCAACCTCTCGACTTTCTGACTGGTGAAGTTTACAGGCGTATAGGGCACGAACAGAGAAACAAGTAGCCAAAACTGCCCCCTGTCGTCGAAGAATCAGATGTGACTTCGGATTTACTTGCCACCGGAGATTCCTCAAATCAAGTCAAATCATGCTGTGGCTTCGGCTTTGCAGGCACGAGCTTGCGGCGTGCTGCCAAGCTGGGACGAAATGGACGAAACACCCTTTCCAACAGTGGATCTTTTCGTGGCGCTTATGTGGATGTCTTGTATACTCATAATCTCGAACAAGCATCTCGTGACACCACGGAGCCTGGATGTGTGCTGCTTTTTTTTCTACATTGCCACCCTGCTCGGGCTCTTGCTGACACCGGTCCAGACCTTCGAGGTGTATCGCCAAGTCATGTTCAGGCTCATCTTTTGCAGAGTTCTGCCTGATGTTACGACAAAGCGTGCGGCGATGTTCGTGGTGTTCAACGTGCTCGGCGTTGTGGTGGTGATCGCGCGGGTGATTGCAGTCAGGGAGCGTGGAAGGAATCAGCTTGACGAAGCCTTGGTCCTGAATCTTGCACCCGTATTTGGAGCAGTACTCGTTCGTCAAGTTGCTCGTCTGCAATTCATGAAATTGTGTGAAATTCATGCACGCCTGTCGCTTCCCAAGCTTTCCCAAGCAGGAGATACGAAAGTCTTTTGTTCCAGGCGTTGTACGCGATAGCTGAAAATGGGGTCAATCTCCAGACACTCACTGTCGAACGAAACGCTATCTCCAGCCTGCTTCTGGGACTTTGCGATGCTGTTGTGGAAGTGGATGAGAGTCTTGGCTTCATGTGTGCGTGTGACACTGTTGTCTTACGGATCTGATGATTGGTGACACTTGAGAGGTGGGCCGTTGCAGCTAAGTGATAATCTCAGCTTTATCGCAGCACGCTCTTTCCAAGTGGGCAAGTTCTCATCTGTCACCTTGGCGTGAACGCATAAGCTCCCGTCTCACAGTTCGCGACCGAAAGAGACTGCGGAGCCGAGCTGATAAGGAACCTCAAGCTGACACAAGACGGCCGTCAGCTCTCGACGATGCTGACACTTTGCGCAAGACATGTTGCATGGGGTTCACATATGTTCACTTCCTAGTCTCACAGCCAGCCCCACCCAAATGCCCGGAATTTGATTCAATTCTTGAGTCCTTCTCTTCTCTTTGTTCGGCTTTGATCTGGGCTTGGGAAAGTGGTTTGGACGCAGGTTGCACCCTGGTCATTGGCTTGCTGCAGTCGGAGATTCCCAGTCCGGGCATGGGGTGCTTGGGAGTTGATAGATAGTGGAACGGATGGGCGCAGCACGCACGAAGTGCGACGAGGCCCAGGATTGATGTGTAATTGGCCCCTGGCGTCAAACCCCGGCGATGGGAGGGGCAGGGCGGGGACAGGTGCTGAACCGAGGTTACATTGTCGTGGCGTAGCTGCCCAGCAGCTTGCCGGGTCGGACCTCCTTGTGCTCCAGCGGCACTCGTCACTGCAGTCACCAGCATAATGCAGAGGTTTGTATTTGCTGAGAAGATCGGTACAGTGGTACAGTTTCGAAGCGAGGTTTCTGACTCACCACTGCCGGTCCTGCTGTGCGAGTGCATAGCTGGTCAGCCGTTTAGTTGTTTGAGACATCGGATGTCCTGGTTACGGTTTCGTACCAGGCATTCTTCCATCCCGATGACCGAGCACATGTTCAACAAAGCTTATGCGGCAGCCCCGAGACTTAGCAGATTTGCGCAGATCTGTCGATTTGATCGAGCGAAACGGTGTCGGCTGAAGTCCGGTGTGGTCACTCTGCTTCCATGCGTTGCTGATGTTCGCACGGTTCTCAAGAATTGGTGTTTTGTCAGGGCTCTTCTATCTAAACTCCAGAGACTCTAGAATCCAGACGAATCCCGACGGAGTCCTGATACCTCTTATCTAGGATTGTTAGCCACCAGGCCAATCTTTGATTCTGGCAGAAACGGTTGCTGAGGATGACACGCAAACACGGGTATTCAACGCACGAATGCTCGATGGTTTAAGTGACCTGGCTGAAACGGCTGGGAGCCTGCAGCGGAGATAAGAGCCTCAGATTGGTTCCTGCGGTCGGCCCGGTTCGGTATCGGAATTTAGAAAGAAGCTTTTGGCGCTGTGAATCCGCGACTCGATTGGTTGTAGGCTCCTAGGGCCCTAGGGATTCAGCTTCGGGAAGCCCTTTGCGCAGGGGACTGAAAGTGGCAAGGTGGACGGCACAAAAAGACTGCACTGCATCAAGGGATGATGCTTGGGATGTTTCACTGTTTGTGCACAATCTCGTCTCACGTTTCGCCACAGAGGCAACCATGTGGAAGTGGAGCTTTTTCACATCAACATGGAGAATCAGGAGGGACAGAAGTGCTACCTTGCACCACGGCATTCATAGTTGCAATTTCGTTATGTTTTTCAGTTGCTCTCGCTCCGACACTCTCTAGCCGAATTCATGCCGTATGCTGGCTCGGCAAAGAGCCAGTCATCGGATCCGACAACATGCATCCAAGGTGGGAATGCGAGAGTTCCAAGATCTTGGCTTTGTCGCACCTTTGCCAGCACGGGAGCCATCCAATCCTACAGCCACTCGGCCATCCTTGTTGTAGAATCACGCCAAAGGAGACACACAGAAGTCCTCGTTGATGCCGGGAAACAACCCGCAATTATATGAAGCAGGAGGTATAAACAAATTGCCGAGTTACAGCACATAGGATCCTGACAGCACCCGATGCAAGCTGCTGGGTATGTTGGATCTCCTGGAAGTTTTCATTAATACTGTTCACCATGAACCAAAAATTTGAATAACTTCATTTGAAGGGTCCGTTGACCTTCAGGCTTTTCGCCATTCCCAAATCTTACCAACTGAGGGCAAAAGAACCGGCGACTTCTCGTTCGTTTTCTGTGCCTCCTCCGCTCGAGTGCTCACTGCCGGGAAAGAGGTCGACAGCTCATCGGCTGCATCCAGCTTGGAGCATCTTGGAGCCATAAGATTCAGCATGAATGTGAAACAGGAGAAGCAGCCCAAACAGCAGAAGAAAGGCAGTCTTACTAGTAGCATGCTTTAGCCGGCATCTCCAAGAGCTTCTTGCATTTCAGGGCTGCTGTTGAGCAACGACGTTGACGCAGAAGAGCTGCGCGAGATGACAGTGTGGCCGGACCGCAGCAAGCGTTGCGCATGCTTGAATCCTCCACTTGCTGGCAAGACTGGCATCTGCGGTACGCCTGCGTAGATGCAGCTAGACTTCGTCTGCTTGCTATGACACTTCAGCATCTTGGTCTGCCTGCACTTTGTGTACAAGTAGCTTGTTTGAGAGGTTCGATCTTCTATACGGACTGGATCCTGCATGGAATGCCTATCTGAAAGAGAAGGCGTGAGTGAAGCTGTTTGTCTTAGAGGACAGAGACTTAATTCCTTGGGGATTTGCATCCGTAAACCGCCCTAAGCCCTAAACCTTTAAATTGGTTTAAGGCTTTGCTTCGGGGTCCTAAGCTTTGCCACGGCAGGTGACCGAGCATGGCAGCGGCCTTTTTCAACCTCAGCTTTACGAGCTCGGCCTCCTTCATCTGCTGGGCACAGTCGTCGTCCCAAGTCACGGCTCGTTCCCGTAGTTTCAACAGCGTGAACAACCGCGGGAATTCAGAGAAGTTTATTGGAAGCTCGTCATGGTATCAAGAGTGATGATGGGTCGTGGAGCCGGCAAACTAAGGTCCCAGTACAGGCAAACCTGGTGCTGCGGCAGGACGCCATGTGGGCTGCACACATGGTGTTCCTATCAAATATCGACTCGCTGCATCAAAATCATCTGATGCGTTCGATACCATTGCGCTCGGTCAGGGCGCAACATTCGATTCGTAAGGAAGCTGCTGTCGAGGGTAGGTTTCCCGAGCTCCATGTATACAGCATGTATTCGCATGGCACTCGCCACAATTCGCGACCATCAGCGACAGCGAACAGCCCTTGCACTCCTTTGCTGCTGCTGTGCTGTGCTGCGTTCCTTACAAGCCGAATGGGTGTGTACTTGAGGACTTGCAGCGAGCTCCGCGTTTGAGTGTGGTGGCGGTCTGTCGTCTGAAAGTAAGCTCGCGTTCCCCCAAAAGCGTGGTAGGACTGTGGGATCTGGTGGGCCACATTCAGTGCGAATTCAGATTGACTGGCCCCAGCTCAGCTTTGGAAAACGCTCGAATTGTCGACTGTCATACTTGTAGGAGAGTTTACTCCTGCCAGACAAGGCGAAAAACGACATCGGGGGGATATCGGGGGGGTCGTCATCCAGCCACAGTGCCGTGCATTTCCAGGCAGCGACACCGAACCTCATGCTGCCTCTGCAGTCCCCAGTGCATTTGGCCATCCTGCCTCCAGCTTCATGGTCCCTGGTGGGTTTCTTCGTGGTGCTGGTGCTGGTGCTGGTGCTGGTGCTGGTGCTGGTGTTGCTGGTGATGGTGGTGGTGTTGCTGGTGGTGGTGGTGGTGGTGGTGGTGGTGGGGGTGGTGGCGGTGGTGGTGGTGGTGGTGGTCGCTGCGGTCGCTGTGGTCGCTGTGGTCGCTGTGGTCGCTGTGGTCGTGGTCGGGCGGTGCTGGTGGTCCTGCAGGTCTTGGTCGTCGTGGTGGTGGTGCTGCTGCTGGTCTTGGGCATCGGGGTCGTCCTTTTACCTTCGGGGTGTAACTGTTTCTAGATGCTTGGTCTTTCACTGTAATTTTGTGAAGAGGCTGCCCAGTAATCAGTTTGCCAGCCAAGTCTTGGCACCTCCTTACCGCATCATTGTGCCATCCACGTAACTTCCACGTGCACTTCCAAAGGAGAAGTGCCGCTGGTTCTTTTGGAGCTGGCGGCGACATTAAGGAAGCTGAAGCATAGGAATGATTGAATGACAAACGGCACTTGCATGCGAGGATGGCGAGTCTGGTGCGCTGGTAGGTCTCGTCCGGCTGATACCCTCACGCTCATTTCTGGAGACCTGGCAGGAACAAAGCTTAGAGCGAAACGGCACATAATAGCAACCGTCGTGAGAGGGGAAGTTAGTTCTACCTTCGAGGATTCGAGAACTGCCCAGTGAAAGCACCGGCTGCGAGCCAATTTCTCGAGTGGAGAAGAGACATGTAGTACTGTAGTGTCATGTCGTGATCGATGCTGTTGGAAGGACAGCAACGCACCGGAAGCACCAAGTCCGGTTGTCAAGAGTCCGCTTCGTGCTCAGATAAGGACTCAGAGACTCCAAGCAGCAAGACGAGCGGAAGTCAGTGTGGCAGCATCAGCGACCTGCACCGCTCCATCCCTCTCTAGGCCTCTAGGCACGAAAATGTGGCGCGCAAGTTTCTGATGTGGAAGTATTTGCTGCCCTTCTCCGTCTTGGTCGACTGTTGAGGCCTTGGAGGACAGCATCAATTGCAGCAGCATCCTTCAAAACTTCGCTTTGCTTTCGGAAGCCCGCTCAGATGATCAACTCGGGTGACAGACGACTGGCCGTAACATGGTTAGCGTCGTGATCAGCAGTCATCACCATCGCAGATTTTGTTGGAAGTGGGGAAACTGAAAGTTTGAAGCATCTGCATCATGCGCCTGCCAACAGCGGGCATTACTGTCTAGCCGGACACTATGCAACTCTGCAACCTCCGATCTGGGCACAGAGGATGGCGCTGCGCTGCAATAACTGTTATATTGAAATATTCTCTGTTTTACGAGCCAGGGCCGGGATCAGGATCCTGTCCACGGCCGATTTGCGGATTTTCGTTGGTCTTTGATCTTTGCATGTTGCTCTCTACAGCCAAGCTCGCCAAGCGACTTGCAAAGCCGGTGGACCAAGACATGTTCTGTTGCTGAAAATTGGTGCATGCTGCTGCTGTACCGTCTCTCATAGTTCGTATCGACGGAGGCTACGTCCTGGAGTTCGCAGTTGTAGTTCGCAGTCGTGGCAGGGTCGTTTGAGAGTGATCCGTGCCAGTGTAGCATTGATACAGCGCCACCAACTACACCTTTGAGCACTGCTCCACTGCGCGGGTAGCTCAGCTGCAGCTGCCGAGCATGGGTGCGCGTGCGTCCAACAACAGGCCTCGATCGACATGTTCCGCGAGGTTCGTGCCCCTTTTTTCGCCACTGCAGTCGCTCCACAAGCTTCAGCCTCCAGTCATGTTCAAGATCGTATAGTCCAGTCATGAGGGGCTTTTCTTGAGAGTGGCAGACGAACACGGACGACCCCCTCTGGCAGCTTGTGGCTTTGGCAGCCGGCACTGGCGGGCACCTCCCTCAGCACACTATACAACAGGACGGTTGGCCGCGTGCACAGCCTAACGCGCAATCATTTACCTACGCAGAGCTACAGAGGTTAGCCGGGCAGTTTCGTCGTCATGGCGCAAGCAAGCTGAAAGAAGCCAAACGAACAAAATCAGGTCCGTGCTGTCCATTGGCAGCATCGCCGGTGTGACTCTGATGAGCATGGAGCATGTCGGCTTCATATGGTGCCCCTGAACCTTTCATGACCGCTGCGCAAGACCATGTCATGGCACGACGGAATGCTGGAAGGAGCTTTTCTTCTGAGCGCACCCCCACCCTCACCTCGCCGCTTCACAGGTACTTCCGAAAGGTGGGAATCTGGGCTGCTCTCGGATTCTTCAGCGGCATCGGCGTGTGCCCTGGCCAAAAAAATGAAGCAGCAGGCCAGCTAAAGGAGGAAGGCGACTGCTCCTCCCCCGCGATTCAACACACGGATGCAGGTATCAGCTGGAGCGACTGATCATTACCGGTGGTTCCTGAGCTGGTCATTTTCGCATGCTGCAGAACCTAAGCACTGGTCAAGCATAGGCAGCATAGATATTTGCCCTGAGAGTTTGCTGCACAGCTGGCGAGGCTGTAGAAACAATTTGGGTTGATCTCCTTTCAGAGCGTGCCCAAAGATTCCCAGAAGCCCTGCAGACGCTTCTGGGTGGCGCGCAAAGACCGTCATGCATCAGCATCACGAGATAGCAGTTTCGCTCAGCGCTTTACCAGGATCCACCTAGGCTACACTTCACGGTGTACTTCCGATGTGATGCTCGCCCAGTTCAATTCAGTCCAGCGACAGGCGCTGAAAAAGTTCACAGGGCTGTGATGGCCAGACGGTGATTACAAAGATTGGTTCCTGTACACTAGAGAAACAAGCGTTGCTGCCGCGAGCCAACGCATGCAGGAGCTTTTGTTATGCAGCCATTGAGGCTTTATAGAACTCAAGCAAGTCATGTTCACGACATGAGAACGAGTATGGTACAGCGATGGGTGCACGCAGTCCATGCCGTCTATGCAGCACAACTGCCAGTTATTGCAACCGCGCAGGGCCCAAGAGGCCTTGGCAGCGCCTGTAACGCAAGCAAAATATCAGAGGGGTGACCGCCAATGCAGCTGCATCTTGAAGACGATGGCCAAGCGGCAGAGGCTGCGCCATCAGGGTGCTTAGTTTCTCGCTTCAGTGCTGCGAATGGCCACCTCCAAAACCCATGCTGGAGAAGAAGACATGCAAAAGGCGAGAGAGTGTCACGAATCAAGGCCTTCTGAATTAAGCTGCTTGTCACAGAACTGGCTCCGCATGTTACAAGTAGTTGTGGTTTTTCCCCAAAGGAGGTTGATCTGATGCGGGTGCCTATCACGAGCAGAGGGCAAGGCAAGTCTGATCTGGGTTGTGTCAGCGCTCAACCTGAGTCCTTTTGAAGCTAACATCAACATCCAAAACGGAGGTACAGGCACATGCAGAATGAGAAAGTCTCCCTGAATGACGCATGAAGGTCCTTGCATCACGCCGCCTGCCGCTGCTGCCTGGTTGATCAAGAGCACGGGGAAACTGCAGATCCCATCTCACCGTGCCGGGGTTCGGTTGCAAGTGTGGGAGAGGTGCAGCGAAGTGGGCCAATCTTGCTTCGGGAATTGAGGAACCGATGACATTGCCGCACACAACTGTGAGAAAAAGAAGTTTGGCGCCCTATGCTGTGATTCCACCCCGACTGTGACAACCATTCTCAGATCCAAGCATGCTACAGTACAGGTCTGGACCTAGATCGCAGAGTCTGCGGTGGCATCAGTTCCATGGAGTCCGAGGTACCAATTCCCGCCCCAAGCGATTATCGAAGAGGCGGAGTTGCAGGCAAGATCTGTCAGGGAATGTTACGGAATGTAGAGCTGCGCGACAGGCGCACTGCAGCCTCGTCCGCGCACAGGACCTGGGTCGAGCTCGACTGTCCCACCTGGCAGCTGTGCAGCGAAGTGCAGTTGCTGCTGGCGGCGTCCCCTGGCTGTCGTGACTGATCGTTCCTCGAGGACGCTAACAGCAATACTGAAACAAGAAAGCCGAAAACAAAATCCGAGCCCTGCAAAGTTGACCATGCACATGACTCTAGCCGCTGTAGCCAGGAGCAGGAGCAGCAGCCGCCGCCGCCGTGCTGCAACCGAGACAACTGCAACACAACAACTGCAGCAGCAACAGCAGCAACAACAACAGCAGCAGCACCAGCAGCAGCAACAGCACCATAATGAATGCCGTGGCGATCGTTTGCAATCCGACATGCTGGCTTGGTGTGTTTGTCGAAGTCTCGCAGAAACCGGGGTTGTTGCAGCGGCCGTGTTGAGTGCATAGCAGGCAAGCGAGGACAAACGGCCCGTGGATCCCCTTAGCAGGAGACGCCCGAAGCTCTAAAACCGGAATGATCGCCGGGGCCCATCCCAGCTCCATTTGTCGCCACAGGCAGCTTCGAGTGACGACGCATGCATGATTTCCGAGCCATTATGCAGTGGCGAAACAATGTATGACACATTCACGGCCTTGCAGGCCTTTCAACAGAGCTGTCCAGCTGCTTCGCTCCCTCACACATCCGTATCCTGAACATGAGATGAGAAGTGTCCAGCCCTGTGGACCGGAGCAGGCCGGGTACTGTTTTGTCATCCCGAGCCAAGAACCAGTTGATTTTCGGCATTCCTCAGCATTCGTCAGCACTGCTGGTGATGCTGCTTGTTTGGGCAATTCGATAAATCCTGCTCGATCCTTGATCCACACTGCGTGGCCGTAGTTTTGAGGGTGGCATGGCTTGGCGATGCTTGTATTGCTGTAGCCGAAATTCTCAGGACTCTGCACCCGACGTGGGGGACTGGCGGCCCAGCAGCAGTTCGCAACTGGGCCTACAGCCTATGGTGTTTGAGTGTGATGTGTTTTTGAGTTTGTGTATGAAGGCGCGAAGTTGGGTCGGTCGTGTTGGAGCAACTCAGAGCTCCTGCAGAGGAACGCCGAGCCCTGCGAGCTTGATGCAGTGTCCCACTTCGTTGTGCGCCTGCTTTGCTGCGGAGACACAGCTGCACGCTCCTGGTTTCTGGCTGCAGAGGACACGGCACTTCTGAAAAGCTCCCTCCGCCTCCTAAAAGCGTACGGACCGGAAAGCCTAAACCCTAACCGCACAAAGTCATTCTGCATTGACGACTTCCTCATTGTCGCCGCCTCGATTTTAATTCCATTCGATTTCGCATTTTCCGAAGCGTACCTGCATAATTACGCCTCAAATCTTAGGAACCCTTCGTCATCATAGTGCAAGTCGTCTTCTTCACAGGCAGCAGACGAGTACGGGAGCAAGATAAAGCTAAATTTTCCTAGATATTTCCTGCGTTCATGAAGCCATGCTGCTACTATCGATATTTCCTGCATTCCGCAACCAAGCTGCTAGATACTTCCTTCATTCAGAAACCAAGCTGCTTGCTTTTTCCTTCCCTGCTGAACTTGGGAACTGCGCGTTCCGCTTCTGCGGACATGATGATTGTCTGAGAGTTTTCGACTCAAGATGCCCAGCCTGAGAAAGAACAACATCCCGGATCTAGCATTTTCTCTCCTTTTCTAGGATTTTCTAGCATCCCTGGTCCTCCGGGACCTGGCCGGAATCTAGCATTTTCTAGCAGCATTGTCTAGCATAATCTAGCATTTTCTAGCATTCTGGTCCTGCGGGACCTGACCGGAATCCAGCATTTTCTAGCATGTTGTTTAGCATTGTCTATCTAGGTTGGCGTAGTATTTGCATGGTGGGGCACATGGATTAGGGTTTAACTTTCCATTCTTGAGGCCAGAAATCACTTTTCGGTTCTATTGTGTTTCCAGGCCTACCTTTTCATACTTTCCAAGCCACAGATCTTCGGCACACAAGCAGAGTAATTATCTGGCTTTCTCTAGCTTTACCTAGCTTTGTCTAGCCGCCCTTGTCTGGCTACAATTTTCTGTGGCTGTGAACCTGCCCCCTTGATCAAAGGCCTAACAATTGGGCGTAAAGGGCCTAAAGTACACTGACTTGACACACTGCATCGGAAGCCCGGCTTCCCAGTCTTGCACGGCAAAAGAAGCGTATATGCCGCGCCGCGATTGCAATGGCATACCGCCATTCATCTTCACACAGTGCAAAAGGGGGAATGAAAAACTAACACATCCGTGGCGGAAAGCGACGCACACAGCTGCTTGTGAACCGCCGTTTGCGGATTGTGAGAGGAGACACTTGTGGTTGAAAACGGCACATGTGGTGTTAAGTATGCACTGCCGAGCATGCAGGAATGCCTTTTTCTTCGTCGGTGGGAGCAGGCAGAGTGTTTCCACTGCGACGCCTAGTTCTGACAAGGTGAGTACATGTGAGCACGCTCCTGGCGACGACGCCATCTGCCGGCAGCATCGAAAGCCTCAAAAGGCACTGCTGGCCTGCCAGGTCCCATGGGCAGCTAAACTGAGCGCGCTGCGACGGGTTGGCATGGAGCCGGACGTGGAGCAAGGTCGTGTGAGCACTACCGTGAGTAACTGCCGTGTCGATTCCGATGCCGATGGTACAGAATGAACCAGTGCGTGTGATGCGACAGGTACTGTGACAATGCATTTCAGCCAGCTCCCACCGGTCCTTCTGGCTCAGCTCCTCGCAGGAAAATCTGCCTGCAAACGCCTGCCAGTTCCTACCGAGCAATGGCCTTTAGTAGATCAGATGCTGAGGTCCCTGATAAGAGTTAAGAGTTACAGAGAAGCTCTCGCTCATTTCGTGGGTAAGGCGTCGTTGCCGACTTTGTCGCGGCACGGCAACAGTATATGCTGAGGCCAGCAGTATGGGGGCGAATGTGACTCGCGATCAGTGCAGTACCTGCCAGCCACAGCGACTCTGTAGTTCTAGCTGCTAGCATCTTTCGCCATGCCGCGAGGACTTCGCACAAGTGGTGGTTCACCGCTTTCGCAAACACCTCACAGACATGTTGGACCAGGCCGCCGCCAGGGCCCTAGCTCATCTGTGAAGGCTTGTGAAAGTACTTTGTCGTAGAGAGAATATTTGCGCAAAGGCAAGTGCTGCCCATCTTCACCCGTCGCTGCAAAGAACGGTGCCTTGGGGCATGACCAACGAGTAAGCTGGTCTCGCGGTAGTTTTTGGGCAGACGAAGTGGACAGGCAGCAAATCGAAAGTTGCCTTGAGGCCTTCTGTAGAATCCGCTTCTTGTCCGCTTCCCCTTGCCTTCAACTTCGAAGAGCTGAGGTTGATGCTCTGAGGCCGCTCCTGGCAATCTGAAGGGTTCCCTCTGCGGTGGCTAAAGTGGAGTTTGCGAGACCTCGTTCAGTCTTTAGAGTCTTGAGGAAGCTTCTTCGGTCGCTTGTGGAGGCCTGCTCTGGAGGAGCTCTTGGTGGGCTTCGATTCTTCAACGAGGCAAAGCTAGCTGTAGCTGACATACCCATCGTCCACCATGCAGGCAGCTGCACACGGAAACCGTAAGGTGCTGCTGCTCGGTCCCGAGCCAGCTTTTATCCGGGAATGGAAGCACGGTCTCGAAAGCTTGAAATGCCAAGAGTCATGTCCCGAAGCTCAGCCGCGAGAGGTTCGGTGATGAGCCGATTGGGCTTTGCCTGGCGAACTTTGAGCAGATGCTACGAGAGTCCTTCCCGCCGTGCCGCTGGGACATCAACAACTGTAGAAAGGGCTGTTGCACACACTGTGCCTTCACTCTGCATGCAGACGAGGCATGCAGTACCTGGTCGACTTCCAGCGACGGGGCAAGCACCTCAAGCATCATAGCCGCAAGTCATGACAAGCAGCCAAGCCTGTGGTCTACTGTTGTTTTGGCGGGCCATGCTCCTACGTTTGTTTCTAGTGTCTTCTCGCACTGCGTCCAAATCGTCCAACTGATGACCGGAGCTGCTTCGTACTCAAGTGTTCGACATGTGGGTTTGGACAGTCTGATGCTCCATACTCCAGACGAAAATCGCAAGGCATCATGGGCGGATTCAGCTTCGACCTTTGCTGAGGGAAGCTGGGTGCTTTGTCCAGCAATGACTGCCAGAAGTATTCATCAGCTTTCCTAATGCTGTTAAAGAGCTGGCAGACACGAGACGCTCTCACTTGTCACCCACTTACCGCTTTACACTGCCCGGCGAACTCGCGTTTCGAGGCTTCCTTTGGCAGAAGCACTCCGATGGTGGCGCCGTGAGTTCTTACGCGATCCGAATGTGCAGGAGGCAGGGCGATGGCACCATTTCAGTCCTGCAGGAGGCAGTGTGTAGTGTAGTAGTATCTTCCAAGCTTGCGGTTGCTGCTGGTCTCTGTATTTTCACCTACATGCTCGATTGGTTCCAGCTGTGGATCCTGCATGACACGACCACCGGATGCCGGAAGTTCCCTGGCAGGAAGTGTGCTGTAAGTGTTATTCGTGTGTCTTGTTGCGCAGGCACAAAGTCGCATCACTTCCGCCCCGAAACTTGATGCTCTGCACTTTACAGGCACCACACACAAAGGCCGCCTAAACAGTCTTGCGGGGAAGAGCCACGTTCCTTCCCCGATGCCTCATCGCATTGCTGCCTCAGATGGATGCTGTCACTGGCTGCGGCCACCATGAGGTTTTCGAGCGATGCCGTAAGTCCAGTATGCGTCTTCTTCTGAAGGAAGCTTTCAATTCGGAGCATGTGGTCCACATCCAGCAGCTTGGCGATCAGTGTGCAACATGGACGCGCATGTCGGAGGACTTGAAGACTTCGAAATTCGTATAGACCGAATTGCGTCACTCTTTGAAAGAGTGAAGAGCTCCTGAGGCACGCCTACGGACAGATGGGCCTCTCGGCTCAGCGAGGTCAATGGGGGCTTAGAGATTGGCGATTTGTGAGACGCGCACTCTAGGGCTGCACGGCAGCTTCTCCCTCCTCAAGTAACATCCACCAATCTTGCGAACATCGCAAGACAGCCCCTGCCACCTGGGAGGGACTCTAGCAGTGCACGTTCTGGTAGCAGTCACCGTGGAGAGGTTCCAGGTGCCCGTGAGACAGCCTTACACGACATGAATCAAAGACATTCTCCATCGAACCCGTTCGACGGAGCTGCGCAAATTGTCGACTGCTTGGACTCAGGCAAGCGGAAGCCGGCATATGGATGGAGCTGCCGGAAGGCCACTGACACTTCGTGCCATGCCGCCCTTGGAGCTTAAGGCAATGCATGGCAATGCCAGAGCGATGTGGCACGTTCTGACGAACTGCGAGGCTCTGGACCCCAAAGTGTTTCCGGCGGTTGACGTCGCTTCGCCTGAAAAGGGCCGGTTAACTGACTACTATAGGCATCCTGGGCGCTCTTGATGCCAAATGCTGCTTCGAATTTCGCTGGTTGCATCATGTTGCATCAGGCTTTATCACAGATGCAAGGACCTGCAACACAAGCCTCTTCTCAAAGCTAGGCCAAACGAGCCCATGGCTGTCCATTCCGCTCACTGGATGAGGAGGAGCTGCTTGGCGCCATGAACCATGTGACTTCGGCGAGTCTTCCCCTTTGATTCACGGTCTTGAGGCTACGCAGGCTTCTCGTGGACTTCACCTTGTCGCCTACAAGCGCTGCCATGGCTGCAGGGCTGGCGAGGGGGCAGGCTCTGTGACGCTAGGAGCTTTGCTTAGCTTTGCGCTCCGGCTCCGATTTGCAGTCGGTTGGGTTTTGAAGCCTAATGGCTTAAAGGTCGTGAGTGCGGGCTGGAGCTTTGGAACGGTCAATTCTGGAGTTACTGGCCTGGTGTGCAAGGCGTCCAACCAGTAATCCGTGCGGCCTGATCACGTGGCAGAGATCCAGTGTCTGTTTCCTACCCCCAGAGATGGAAGAAGTCCAGCTTGACTGGATCCACTTCCTGCAGATCCGCTCGCGTTTCTGCGCTGGTTTCGTAGCGTTTCAAGCTGCGACGAAGATGTCGAGAGCGACGTGCGCTATGTCAGGTTGACGAGTCCTGTTTGGGCCTGCCAGAGTTTCCGACCGAAGTTCGTCAGGCAGGGTCCGACAGGGGTTGGTGCAGTCGGCAAGTTGCCTAGATGCTTGTGTTTATCTTATCACTTGGATGGAGTCTGGCAGCTGTTGTCACGCAGACCCCTCCAACCTGGCCACCACAAGAAATTGGGACTCAAATCGAGTTAGTTGGGCTCGGCTTGTCAGGCCAGGTCAAGTAAAGTCTTCAAGACCGCGTAGGCAGGATTTTCCAGAGCGCTGAGAGGCAGCAACCTCCACCCTGTTTCAGGAGGAGAAGGCTTGCCTCTTCGTCTTTCGAGAGCGCCATCCCACGGCCGAGTTGCCAACGGCCTTGGGTCATCCCATGGAATTCCTCAGGAGGACGGTGGAAACACTCATAGATGTAAATGAGCTCGCAGCAAGCTCTAGGCTCTAGAAAGTCTATAAAACTCTAGACTCCACTCAGTGAAACTTTGTGAGCTTTCCAATGGAGAGGAGCCGACGTTACTTCAAGAAGCCAGATGCAGGAATGCAGAATTCATCTGCCGCTTGGTGTTGGCAACCTATCATGGGGGACTTCTTGCTGATCTTGCGACTTCAATTTGGCATCGAATGACTTCACGTTGAATGTGCGCAGGATGCTGGTCATGTAGTTTGGCCCTTCCAAGCTGTCTTCAGCGAGGTACTACGCTGTAGTCAGATGGCCGGGCATGTGCGGCAAACGCAACGCAGACCACATCAGACCACTGTCCTGTCACGACTTCAGACAGGCCCAACACACATCCGCTTGCGAGCCTCGAGGCAGAGCAACGAAGCGAGGCATCGGCGGCGTCGGTACTGCGAGATCGACCAGAAATACCGCTGCCGAGGCCGGCAAAATATCGTCAAACATCGTCAAATCATCTCCCACCGGTCTCCAGCAGAGCCGCAGCACATCGCAGCACATGAAACTCATCTTGGGAACAGCTGCAGTTGCCTTGCCGTTTCTCCTACAAGCTTGATCTCTCACGCAAGAAGAAAAGCAACATCAGTGGACTTAAGGCAGGGTGAGTCTGGAGGCTTGTATCTACATCAGAGTGCGAGATCCTTGCGGTACGAGCATAAGCGAAGAAATCCGAGAGAATGAGAAGGCCTGGATCTTTTGTTGCACGCGTGCTGGCCCGGAGGCAGCTTGCAAGGCCGGCGTACAAGAAGCCACTTCGTGTGGCCTCGGGGCTGGGGAAACTGTTTGATGAGCATTTCAGACAGTTGCATCCGCGCGGGGGGCCTGGGGAAAAGAATCCGAATGTATCCTGCTTGCGGCACCTTGTCTGTCTGCTCTGAGCAGCCTCTATAGGACCCACTCCGAGGACGTCAGAGCTGTCCTCCATGCGCTTCCCGACATGGTTTTGAATTGCTCAAGCAAAAGGCTTGAATTTAGTGATCGAGGTAGCGTACCGCTACGTGCGATCTGCGCAACTTCATCAGTCGATGCAATCGGCGTCATGGCTGCTCATGTAACTAATCATCCTACTGGAACACTGACGACTAGTAACCTCGCCGGCGTGGCAGTTGATGGAGTCTAGCACGGCCATTCCGACAACTCGACGTGACTACAACTGCAGCTTCGCGGAGAGCGGAGCGTGTGCTGAACTTCTGTGTTCTGCCTGGCAACAGTCGTCAGAACATAGGCTGGAGCTACTAGACAAGAGACAGTTCTCGTAGCTGTGGCCTTTGAACAAACAGGACGAGGACGATGTTTAGCGCAGAAGATGCCATGTTTTGGCGCCTTGCCATCCTTGCAGTTGGGGCCGGCCTCCTCTTTGGCGCACCATGGCTGCATCGAGTCCTGGATTCAGCCTGCTCCACGCAGGGTGGGCCCGGAAATGCGGGGGGTCCTGTCTTGTGAGTTGCTCGTGATACTTGTACCAATGCAGGTGGACTTGGCATCCATTGGGGCGGCAGTTGAGTCCATGTCCGAGGCAATTCTGCCAGCGCTCGTTCGCCCTTCTCGTGTCCGTCAGAGACAGGAGCTCCATCTGGACAGGGAAGAGACTGAGTGGGTCGTCTCCGGTGCGAAAGGCCACTCTGTCGCAATGACACTTGCCTGCTCCAACTACACCTTTGAGGTGGCGCCATTTTCGGCAGCCTGTTCGGCGGAGCGCTGATCATGCCGGAGACTTATAGCTCAGCCCAACTTACGCCGAGACGTCTAAGACAGAGAAGTCGCGAAAGAAAGCGCAGTGGCTTTTTCGTCCATCTGCAATAGCAGCAGCACTGGCTCCCGATCGATTTTCATAGGAAGCCCCCTCCCCACGCTCCCCCTCCCATCCAGTGAGGCCAGGGATGGCCAGTGGTAATATGTAAGACTTTGGGCTGTCACAGATCGGGATTCCAGTTGCTAAGTCGAACTTCACACACTGCACCCAGCTGCGCTCACCTCGCCGCGTGAAAAAAGCAAGCTGCCGGCATGCCGGCAGATGGCCTGCCACAGCTTTCGTGGCCTGGCACCGCCCCTGAAGTTCCAATAGCTATAGGCACAGTCGCCACTAGCCAGACCTTCCGTTTCCTTTGCCCGTTCTTGCCCTGAAGCCAATTGCTAAAGCGCAGCACCCGCCGGTCTGAAAACCACACCGTGTGACCCATTCTGCCGCTCCTGCGCTATCCTGCGCTTGGGGCCTCGTGTCCAGAATGTCCAGAAATCAACGGATCAGCAAGCCCTAGAATTTGCGCAAGCCCGTAGACCGTGATGCGCGTATAATCAGGCGTACTGGATGCGAGACTTCGCACAACTTCGCGCCTGAATGTCTGTGGTCAGCAGTGGTGGCGCATGCTGTCGGAATTTTCCAGCAAGACGTGTCGAGCCTTCCGCAGCCTCAGGAACGCCAGAACACTTTGCAAAAGCGATGCTCGTGGCTTTGTGCATGTGTGCAGAGGTCTCGGGGCAGACGGACGATCATCGGCTGGTCCGCGATTCCGAGCATGATCGGAGCCTGGCCTGACTGAGAGAATCCTGGCTATTTGTCGGCATTGCCTCATGTTCTCCTTGCAAGGACCGGCGCTTGTCTTTACGGCTCATAGCCTGCCACAGCTGATCGTGGGAAGATTCTTGCGGCTCGGCTGCGGCCTCCTCCCAGGCTTCGCCTGACATCCCTTTTTCAAGCGCTCCTTTGCGATCACAGGATGGGGATCGGCATCGGCCTCGCCTCGGTGGCCACGCCCAGCTACCTCAGCGAGGTCGTGCTTCCCGCTCCTCGGCATGATCTGGTTCCTCCCCCACAGCACCGACGCCTGCAACAACGCTAAGAACACGCTTCCCGATCTTCCCGCATTTCCGAGCCTAGGAGCAGCGAGGCCTCTTCGAGGCGCCATGACGTATAGCTCGCTCAAAGGGATCACAGAGTCACTTCGCAGTCTTGGCGCTTCGTGGCGACACCAGCATAGGCCTTGCAAAAGCATCAGAAAACCCCAGCTGAAAGGGAGACATTGCTCGCCACGGCGTTCTCAGCGAGATGGCAAGAGTCTGATTGGTTGTATTCAGTGGTTCACCCCATTGAATGACCCATTCTAGCCAGAAGGATCAAACACGCCCACTCTGCGGCAGGCAATGTACGAATTGGGAATTGCCTCTGGGATGTTGCTGTCTGCTTTGGCCAACGCGCTCCTACAGGCGGGGCCGGGCTGGTGTTCTGAAGCATGCTGTCGATATGTCCGATGGAATTGGCTCGGAAGTGTCTTGCACCTCAGATGCTGAATTCCGACGCAGTCTGGCGCTACCAGGCAGGGCTGGCAAGTCAGGATGGTCAGGAACCTGATGTATGGCGCAGGAGAGTGTGGGCTGGCCATTGACATTGAACAATAAATATAGTGCTTTCGGGTGAGCTTCAAGTGCACATAAGTGCACTCTGCACCTCACAAGGGCTCCTACTCCAGAATAGCTCGAGGGCCTCTGGCAGGCGGGATGCGTGCCTTTTGTCTTCGCCTGTCCTGTGCTGCTGGTCGTGTGGACTGTGCCGGAGTCACCAAGGCCAGTGGACATCAAGGGACAAAATTGATGGTGAGAACTTGTCCTGCAGGTGGATGCTGCAGACGGTGGGATCCAGCCCTTCGTCTTTGCTGGCTGTGCTGGAGGCTTCTGTGCCAAGTCTTGGTGAAGCAATCGCCTCTATCTGCCGCGCAGGAGATCTCCAGCCTTCGGCGACCAGGTGCGAGGAAGCGCCTGGAGACATGGCGATCCGGAAGGTCCGGCCATCATCGCGCCGTCTGCACTCACATACTCACAGCATCTCACAGCGTTTGTCCGGCAGGGGCAGCCTCGAAGAGCTTTCGAGTGATGCGGACACGGCTGAAGGTCAGGATGATCTGATCCGCCGCGAGGCTTCAATCGCTGCCCGAGTCATCGTCAGACATCAAACCGCCGCTGCCAATCTGAGGTCTCTGGGATGACAAGCATCTTGCAGCTGGTAGTCCGCTCTGCAGGTCAGACAGCAACCTGGAGGCCACTGGCACGGGTGTCCCGCAGAGTGTCCATTCCAGTCACAGTTGCTTCTGCTTGGCGGAGGAGAAGGATGATTCTGTCCGCCTCCGCACGCTTTCCATCCTTCAGAGAACGCTGAAAGATGTCTGGGTCTCGGATGGTCCCAGCCATTTTTCAGTCTCGGTCTGGGCAGCACGGTATGTGCGAGATACTGCTTTACTGCTCCAAACCGGACGGCCTAGAACAACATGCACCTCCTGCCTGAAACAAAAGCTGTATTTCCCGCGCCGATTTTCGGCCGGGATGTCCGATGTTTTTTTTGTGGTTTTCGTAGGCAGGTTTCATGATCATTCACGTCTTTGCTGTGTGCTGACAGGTTTGCGCCATCATCATGGGCTCGCAGCAGGCTGATAGTTGATTAATTGCTTTCGTCAACAATCTTCCTTCCAGTTCGGATAGGATGTTTCCGGTTCTGGGACCAGGTGCCTGCTGGAGCTCGTCGTGGCCTAGGGCTAGCACTTGCCGCTGCGGTGCTCAATCAGGCCTTTCATTTGGAAGCGCTTACACAGGAAACAGCAGGACCGGATTAGTTACTAGTACATCAGTAGCCTGAGACTGCAGCTGCCTGGATGGCGTGTCTGTGCTTTGTGGTATGGCCGAAGGCCAAAAGCCGGGAACATGACCGCTCAGAAGCGAAGCTGCATGGTCCTGTTGCAGTCCTTTTGCAAGGCATGTGCCTCGACATCCATCCTCATCTACGCGGAGAAGATGCTCGCCAGTGTGGGCTTCGGCCAGGATTCCCAGCTTCCCAGATTCCAATCTGGTGACGTCTGACGCCGCGAGGAGTCCCAGGACCTTCTTACGCTGATGGTCATCGGCGCCAAGATGTTGGGGGTGAGCCTGTGCAGCCTTTATTCGGTCAAGAAAGGCCCCGCGTCTGCGGGGTTCTTCATTGGTTGTTCATTGCTCAAGGCGTTCTTTAACTGTAGGACGTCTGGGCGCTGCGAGCCAAGGATTCTGGGCCTCGCGATCGTTGAACGTGTGTCCAGGCGCAGTAGAGTCGAAGACCGGGTCCTGAGCCGATTCGAGTCCTAGTTTTTGGCTCTCGAGCTTGGAATCCGAACAGCCTCCCATCCTGCGCATGTTTTTGCATCTGCCCTTCCAGGCGGACACTGCTCGGGGCAGGCGGTGGCACCTTGGATGATATGAGTATGTGACTGTCGAGGCTGGCGTGTGCCTACTATAGGATTGCTGTGTTTAACCCAGGCCTCTCCGCTGTGGCCTTGCTGGTCATCGCGCTGGGTGCTGCCTGGGGCAGTCCAGTGCTGCTGGTGCGCCTCGTCGAAGAATTTGGGGTTCAGGGTTTTTTTTATGTGGGTAATCGGCGCAGGGGCCCTTGTTCTGCCGAGGAGTGGCATGAGCTGCTTCATTGCCATCTTCTGCAGCACCTGGGGCATTGGCTACTGGGTAGTGGTTGTCGAGGTGGGCAGCCTCTGCGGTTCAAAAAGACGCAGAAGCTAGCAAAATCCGGAGAGCAGGTCACTGCTGCGGGAGGGCCTCGTTACTCCTCGGACCCTTGGCATCGAGTAGAGATCGAGGACGCGTTACCAGTGCCAGTGGGACTTCCATGACTTAGAGCCTTCTTGTCACGATTGCTTTTGGTGCTTTCTCACTGCCTCCCTACAACTGTATCCCTAGATGACTCCAGAACCTATATGGATGATATCTCGAAGTTGCTGCACCCAAGATTGCAACACTCCAAAGCCAAATTGGGGCATGTGAAGGTGCCGCCCTGGCATGTGGCATGCAGGAGCTAGCTGGTGTCTTCGCCGGTTATGCATTCCTTCAAAACGTCAGATACATGATGTTGTCCCGTTTCCGCTCATCATCAAATTGAACATTGATCTAAAGGTCCCTTGTCTCCGTATTGATGCAAACACACCGGCCTCAAGATGTAAAGCAACGAGCGCGTGTTCGCGCGAAAGATTCGCGATGGGCCCGCCAAAGGAAATCAAATCTGCTAAAGGTGTTCCTTATATTGCTCTTGTTTGCCGCTCTTCACGCTTTTCTCCATCAGATCTGGTTTGCAGATTTGAAGATGTAAAGTGTTTGAAGACATTCGATGGGCAAACGGACAGTTCTGAAGAAAAGCTTGCTTAAATTATATTTACAGAAAGTTGCGAGTCGAAGACAGGGCCTTTTAGATTTTAGGGGTGAGAACACATACACACACACACACGCAGATGGATAGACATACGAAAAATATGAAGCATAAAATGTATGTCATATATAATACGTACGCATGTGTATGTGTGTGTATATATATATTCATACATACATACATACATACATACATACATACATGCATACATACATACACATGCACCAAAGCTCACAAAGTATTGTGTTGTGTATGCCGGAGGAAGTCTCAGCTTGTGTCGGTGGCGCGTACGTACCGTGACAACACTTGAAGGCTTCTGGCAGAGTTCTTGATGCCGTAATTACGGTCAACAGCCTGCACCGAGGCCGCTCAGTCCGTTTCCACGGCCACACTGTTTGCGGCTGGCTGGTTGACTTCTCTGACCTTCATGGATGCTGCCTGCCTGCAGTGCCAGCTGCACATTACCGTCCTGCTGGTTTTGTCCGACAGCTGTGCAGTTAAGCATGCCTGTCACGTGGTGAGGTGATTTCTCAAGGCCCGGCGGGGCTTCCCGTCTGCACGCTGTTTTTTTGCCTCTTTAAAGAGCCTTTGAAGTTCGTAAAGAGAAATGCGTTTTGAGGGCTTGGCTTCCTTGAATGTCCCAATGTCCGACCATGTTGAACCCTTCTGGCCGGTGAACAGCTGGGTGGAGTTAACTGTGAGAAGGATAGATACATGAAGACCTTTGGCTTGCTTTTCGGGTACATGAATATGCGAAAAGCTGCCACTCCGCTTGTCTCCGGATGTCCTCTGTCCATCCCAGGCTTCTGATGTATGCATCCGTAGCGGCTCTCATGAGTGGCTTCACTGCAAGCGGACAAAGACAAGGGTCCTGGCTTATTTGTTGTCTCCAGCGAAGAAATCTCACGATGCACCAGCTACACCCTCTATCATCACGGCACGCACCCGAAAGTGATCTGTGGACAGACGCCGGGCCGTCTGCACTGGCGGCGACCGGAATTGCGCTTCAATACATGCCTCTGCCAGTGGTAGGGCAAACTTTTTGCCGGATGTCACATCGCTGAGGCATATATGGATTTTACATTCTTCCTGAGACGGGAGGCCATTCCCTGGAGGCTCCGGGCGAATACGGCTTCAAGAAAGACTGGTACTGCTGAGACACTGTGAGACTGCCAGGAGTGTGCCGGTGACATTGGGTCGGAGGTGCCAGCACGTGCATTACGGTGCTTCCTCACTTTGCAGGGTCCTGTAATGTAATTTGCAAATGTTTGATTTGGGCGGCCTGGCCTGGCCTGGCCAAACAATGCTTAGATTAGATTCATTGGCACATGTGAGGCTTCGACAGACGTTGACGAGAGTGAGTCGGATGGAGACAGTGCTTCGAGTTTCCTCAAAGAGTAAGCTCGTGTCTTTTTGCGGCTTTGTGGTCGATCGATTATGCTGTCTTTCAGCGGCGATATGTGCAAAATGGAGCCGGGTCTGGTTCCTGGGTGATACGCAAACGATGCGCGGACATTTAATCACCTGTGGTTGCGCATGACAGTTGTGCAAGGCTTGTTCACGAAGCCATCAACGATGCTGGACTGCATGTCAACAGTTGCACTCTAAAGATCACCATGCAACGATGCTGGACTGCATGTCAACAGTTGCACTCTGCCGATCGACAGCACAGGTGGCTCAGCGAGGGATAGTCCGCACATGCAGGCACGGCACTTGAAGACATCAGGTTTCGGACGCGCGGGAACGCCACATCTCCACTCTCCCAGAGACCCTCGCGGACCTGATACCATGTTCATGCATGGTGCGTGCTGATGATGCAGCGCGCAGGCCGGTAAGAGCATTTCGATTAGCTTTTCGCACAACCTTTTTTTGTCCGTTGTCGTTGACTTACTTTGCTCTTGATTTCGGCATCCTGGCATCGTGTTTGCAGGTTTTGGCAAGCTCTGTTCTGTTTCCATCACCGCGTGTGCAGTAGCCTGCTGCTAGCGAATGCCATAGCTCTGTTTTGCAAGCTCCCTGGAGAGTCATCCTACAGCAGGTGCTTGGTTGAACGACTGTTGAACCGAAATGGGGACTGCTAATGCTCAAACTTCTGTTGACATCTAGGCGCATGTGCCAAGCACGAAGAACTCTGAGAGCAAAAATGCCCGATGGAATGTGGGATTATCCCAATGTCAAATCGGTGTATTGGAAAAAGGGAGCCCGCATTCAGGTAGGCCGTCTTGACATTCCTGTGGGCCGTCTTGGCTGTGGACATGAGCCTTCTTTTCAGCTGCCTTGCAGATGCATGTAGTGTGTATCGGAGGTGCGAGAGTGCTCTTAATCATTGCAGCGGAGTCCTCAGTGACTTACTGCATCATCCGTCTTTTGCCAGCAGGCCATCTTGTCCCGAAAAAGCCGCAGGTAAGCGTCGCCCATGCTGTAATGTCTTTACGCAAGGTGAAGCATAGATCTCGCAGGTACGGATTGCATCCGATGTGTTAAGATTCCACCCAGGTTGCCGCTGCACTGGCATCCAGCCTGTGTCCCTGCTTGCACTATGATTTCATGCTGTGTAGCATCCGAAAGTAGACAGAGCGGGAGTTCCAGGGTCGCTCTGTGACGTCTGAAAGAGATAGATCGAAGATGTTTCAAGTGCACAGGGGTGATCGCAGGGTTGGTGCAGTTTCGCACTGGGACATCCACATCAACTTCATGCATGCATGCATACATGCGTAAGCATTTGTGCATCCTCACACCTAAATGATTACATGCATGTGTGTTTGTAACTGATACTGCAGGTGTGTGTGTGTGTGTTTTGTATATCGGTGCACGAGCCAGAAGACACCAGCATGAATCACATATAGAATGGGAGAGTTTAGAGTAATTGAAGGAAGAACCAGCAGAATATGTCACACCAAGAACGGCGACGGTACGCAAGACACCAACATAGTGGTTTACTGCCAGAGCAGCTTCGTGGCAAGCAAGACAATCTCCAGCCTCGTGAAAGGACATCCTTGTGTCTTCTCCGCCAGGGTATCGAGGCGTGCTCCAGCTGAGAAGCCACCCCATCTCTGTCGAACTTGGGGTTCCATTCCAGAGGAATGAAACTCAGAGCATGTGCTTTGCCGCATGCAAGCATGTTGCCGAACAAGTATCAAGAAAGAAGCGACTGACGACGAAGGCATAAGCGTGCATCCGTGGACGGCTTGCGCAGGTGATCGCCGGGACTGAGTCGAATGATCTGGCGCGCATGACGCTGGACTTGGATGGACGAACGAAGCCAGTGCACGACATCACAAAGACTGTGAACAACCGAGGAACTTGCGTCGGATTTTCTATATCAACTTGGTGGCTTGGTTGCACGGAATCCGTAATGCTCGAAATTGCTCTAAATTCCATGCTGGCCCGAGCCTTCCGGGGCCGGTGGGACGGACATGGACGGACGGACCCAAACTTGCCAAACCTTCGAGAATGTTGGATTCTGGATATGGACAGTGTGTGGACTCGTGGACAGTGGGCACTTGAGCCGACAACGTCACGAGTCGCGAGCATCTCGTTGCATCAGTGAACCAGTGTGTCCATCTGTGGCTTATGACACCACTGCGAGCTGCGAACTCCTGATCGCTCTTGTCGCTTTGCTGATTACCCCAAATCTCCGATCTGGTCTTCTTACTTCAATCCAGGTTGCATAGTACCAATTCAACTCAATGTTTAGCACTTTGGACTAGATGTGGCAAAGCCCCAGGGGTTGAGAAGCACGGCAAATGTCAAGAGATCGAATGTAATCTGCACCCCCAACAACAGCCCGAATTTCGAGCAGGTAGCCACCGATTTCGAACTAACGGCGTGTATTGAGAGCAATCTTTCGAGCAAAGGTAATTATAGCTTCATAAGGGACATAGGAACGAGTTTCGAGCAACCCACGCAGTTTCGCTCAACCCGCGTGAATTTCGACCAACCAGTCTCGAGCGTCGAGGTGTTTCTTGGTATTTGTCAGACACCTTGCAGAAATCAACGGTTTGCAGCTTCAACAGGAATCAGGCCGAGCTCCTTCACAAGTATGAAAGGAAAGTATGCAGCGATAAGTCTGCGTCGAGCAAGGAGTGTTTCGAGTCGTTGGCGTCGTTCCAGTTGAAGGTTGATTTCTAGTTCTGCTTCGGCTGAAGCTGCAGATGTTCGTACAAAGCCACAAGTCACGGGTCCTTGCTTTCACAATGCGAGATGCAAGTGCAGCCCAAAAGACGCTTGTGGTTCCTTCGCGCATTGGGCTCCGTCGAAGAGCAGAGCTCAAGCCAAAAGAGTCGCCACGGCTGCCGTGCAAGTGGTGCGAGCGAACCGTTCACGACTTCACTACGGGGCCTTGGCCCCTGGCACCGGGCAGGCGGGCGCAGGTCGCCCTCCTATGCTTCACCGGCTGTCAGCCCAGCTGGCGGCTGGGTCTTGCTGCCCTCCAACTCCAACACTCAAGTCCTTTCGCATGTGCTCCCCATCTCGCGGCTGCAGTAAGCTCCAGACTGTACCGATAATCGGTTTGCCGACCGTTCCTCCCAAGCCGACGGTGAAGGATTAGAGAAGGTGAGAAGGGCCAGGCATTCTTGAAGCCGATGCACGGGTTACAAAGTGGGAAGAGACACTACTCCTAAAGCCACCAGTGCACGAACTGCTCATGAACGAATATTGCGCGAACAACTGCAGTAGGAACCCGCTTCGCCTGTGCATCACGTTCATGATTTATTCGCTCGGCTGCAACTGCCATCTTGGAGTAAGGGATCCTAGTATTAAGTCATGGCCGAAGTGTTGCCTGCTCACACTCCCTGGAAGAGGCAGACACCCACATTGTTGGCATGCGAAACTCGCCTGGGCGCCAAGGAACGGCGTGCCCAGCGTCGTGCCAGGTTTGAGAAGCGAGCCCAGGACGGTGCGAGTTCGAGAGGGGTGTTGGAGTTACTAATTAGAGGAGTTAGGACACGTGGATTATGAGCGGCCCTGGCCAGGAGCTCGGCTTGATGGACCGGTTGTCCAGGCTGGCAGTATGGTTTGGTGATGATCCTCGGGGCACATGAAACAGCCTCTCGCGGCCTCTGCCACAAGTCGGCAGCCACACGTTCTTGGACACTGGTGGAGGGCAGCAGTGCGGCAGCAGATACCTTCTTGAGGGAGCTCAGGCCACGCGGCTTGCAGTCGCTGTCATACGGTCTCTCGGCGCGTGTCCCGCATTAGCAGCGGCAGGTTTCCAGCAGTGGATGGTCGACTTATCGATTTCGGGTCGTGCCCTGCCGGCAAGAGCTGCAAAGTAGACAAGGAGTGTCTGATGCGCTGCGTGGCTCCGAGTTCTATAGCCGTGTGCTGTCTTACTGGCATTGCATGAATGGCGATGTGAGACGCAGGTACCCACGAAGCGTCGTAACAGAGGCCCGCTATCATGCCGGAATTCTTGTCATTGCATTCGTGTGAGCTTGCTGCTTGATTAGTGCTGGATAGTTCGGGTGTTGCGTCGATGCCACAGAATTTCAGGCTGGAGTCAGCGCAGCAAGTGCGCCGCCGGCGGTGGTGAATGGTGCGCTGAGTGATGATCAAACACAGACCATGTAGCTTGCTGACATTTTCCCGTGGTCACTTAGCAATTTTTTGTCGGGGTCAGTTAGCAAACTCGAGTCCGTACCGTTTTGGGTCACTTGGCAACTTAAACGTTTCATCATACCTGTAGTTATGTGTATGTATAAATATTATATATATATACATTTTTTTATTTGTTTGTGTATTTGTCTATTTCAACATGTTTCTACTGTGCCGTAAACACGCCCCCTCATTTGGCCATTCCGGTTCATGTTGCGTCTTAAACACGCGCCCTCATTTGGCGACTCCGGTTCATCATATATCTTGAACACGCCCTCTCGTTGAGCGATTCGGATTCTTCACATATCTTAAACACGCCTCCACATTTGGCGATTCGGATTCGTCATATGAATATATCTTAAACACGCCCTCTCATTTGGCGATTCGGACTCATCCTATATCTTAAACGCCCCGTCATTTGGCGATTCCGGTTCATCATGTCGGATTCATCATATCTTAAACACGCCCCATCATCTAGCGTATCGAGTTCATCATATATCTTGAACACGCCCCCTCA